TATATCTTTTCACTAAAAACATTCATCATTGCAGTTTCCAAAAAATGCTAGTTACCATATTCAACATTCTCACGCATAATTTTTACAGCAGTATCGTAATCACTAACCTCAAGATCTTCCATTATGAACCTAACACCCAATTCGGGAATGATAACCTTTTCTATGAATTTTGTCCTACTTTAGGTTTCCATACTTTCATCAAATGTTCCAACATTATCGTATACCCTTTCATTCTATAATATCCAGAAACTAAATGATTGATTCGTTGTACTCTGACGAACACATTACTGAGTTGCCATTTCGATAGGGATTTGAAATCGTTGTAATATTTGTATCTTTCTTTATATTCACATATATTGGTGATGTGTTTAAAAATCTTCTTGGTTTTGAGTCTTCTCACCAATCATTTTAACTTGCCTCATATTTTATTTTTACTGATTCTGAGTGAATGATTGTTGTTAATGATATACATAAAATCATTATTATTATTATTTGCAGCTGTGGTAGACAGTTCGTCATCTGAATCAGTGATCAATATAACTTCTAGTATTCCCACGTAGTGATTTTTGGTTTATTTTTTTGAATAAAATTTCATCTTCTGATGGAAGGTCGTTATCTGAATCAGTGATCGATATAACTTCTTGTATTCTCATATTGTGGTTTAATTTGTTGAATAAAATTTCATCTTCTGATGGAAGGTCATCATCTGAGTCTACTTCTGATGCTCCCAGGTCATCATCTGAATCAATGATCAATATAACTTCTGATTTACTCATGTAGTGATTGTCTTGTTTTAATTTTTTAACATTTTTTGATGGAAGTTTGTCATCTTTGCAGTATTTTTTGTAGTTATGTTTAATGTTTAATAGTAGACAGGTAGACAATATGTTTAATTTTTATTTTGTTCAGAGAAGTTGTGGGTTTTTTTGGATTTCATAGTGTTTAAATAAATATAATGCGTGATACAAAATGTAAGTAAAGGCCGAAGGCAGATTACCAGACTCTGCTTCAAATGGAATAAGTGCAAGTTGCTTTGTGTTAATTATTCATTTTATAAATGATTTCTGAAACAGTACAACTTAAGCAAGAATAATTTTTCTAATCCAATAATCTTTTTATTTTCACTAATGTTATCTTACGCGTCATTAATTAACTTCTTATATAAATTAGAAAATATATGGCTGTGCTTTGGTAAGTTATTTTAAGTAGATGCACGATCTGTAAACTAGTAGTTAATATAAATAAACTGTAGTTTATTGTAAAACTGTAGTTAACTATAGTTTTAAAATAAACTACAGTTTATTTATACGTATTGTAATTCACAGTTCGCATCTCTAATTTTAAGAGATAAGTATTCATTTAAACAATACATATAATTGAATTTTATTGTATTACGCGCATTTGCAAGAGAAATTTAATATTTATTATAAAAATCTATTTTTAGACTTCCTGGGTTTATAAATGATATTTTTTTTTGTAAAAGATGTGTTTTATTATTTCATTATCACAACAAATTTTCCTTTTTATATAAATTTTGATATAACTTTAAATGAAAACTTATTTAAAATAAGAATTTATGTCTTATGCGTCATTAATATACTTTTTTAGAAGACTATAACTGAACAATTAATTGACAATTAACCAAAAATATAGTAAAGATTGAGACCAAAATTAAAGTTTTGGAATAGTTATATAATTATTTATTATAAATTTTGTTGACTAAAAAATTTTACAAATAATAAATTTAAAAATTAATTTCCTCTAATTTTTTTGCCCAATCATTATTCCATTCGTGAGGACATCTTTCACCTTTATAATGAAAATTGGTCTACAGTTCTTAGAACATTTTTCATATTTAAATTTTTCTTTTTCAAATTCAATTGATTTTTTAAATTTGCAATTACAAATATTGTGAGTATTTTTAAAACAAAAAGAGCACTATAAATACACTTCTGAATGAACATCGTCCCAGGACCAGTAGTTGATGCCCCATTCAATATGATAATTTTCTTTGCAGAAACTGGCAAAACACAAATTACAGATTTTTTTTTCTTTTTAGTATTTCACCCATAGACAGGAAGGATTTGGTTTGTGACCCCTGCCTTTTTCTTCTTGATCTAAAGTAAATACATTTATCATTACTATTAGTAATATTTCATAAATATAAAATTACTTAAATATATACACAACACATTATTTGAAATATAATTATCAGCAATTTTGATATTGGTGCATATAGTAAAGTACAAGACATGCTTTGTTTTTATAAATGTCTTCAAAAAAGATAATGACAATAAAATGACAAAATGACAAAGGTTATTTTAAAACTACAGTTAACTACAGGTTTACAATAAACTACAGTTTATTTATATTAACTACTAGTTTACGGATCGCGTCTCTACTGGCACTCATATAAAGTTTGTATGAACTTGGTATGCAAAACCTGTATTTATTCACAAAAAAGCTAATAAATATAAATAATATTGAGTAGTAAAGATGTGAACTGTAAATTACAATACGTATAAATAAACTGTAGTTTATTTTAAAACTATAGTTAACTATAGTTTTACAATAAACTACAGTTTATTTATATTAACTACTAGTTTACGGATCGCACCTCTATTGAGTAGTAACTTGGCTCAGTTTTAGCCATCTCTGATGATTACATGAATAAAATTTTTATTAGATTAGATTTAATTGTACAAATTTAATCATAATGTATTTTTATCAAACAACTTGTTTTTATAGAATGTTTGTCGAGACGACTGATTATTATTTTCCAAATTATTCATAAATACATAGCGGAATGTATGTTTTAAATTATCTAGATTGCAGAAAATATATGAAGAATCATCGATTGCTAAAATATGTTGAAAATGTTTGTTTGATTAAAGAACTTTAATAAATTCGCAAATAAAAACTCAATATTACCATCATTTTTATAATAACGTGTTTTAAAATTTAATATGAAAGCACTATATCTAGGTTAAATCACTCTAATATTAGTTGAAGAGCTTTATATATTTTCTGAATATCTGGTCAGTTATTAGGATTGTCATTCTAACAGCACGTTTGAAACTTTTTTGGATGGCGATTTTACCCCGGTCGAATTATACTTAATTTGCTTGAAATTATATTTTTATTTTGCCTGGAGTTACTTAATTTTGTCTGAAGTTATATGTCCAGAATAATAATTAGTTTTGCTTGAATTTATATTTTATTTTGCCTGGAGTTATGGCACAATCTCCAACAACCAGTCTAATTTTTTAGCAATGTACGCGAATCTATATTCCAAAATTTGTTCATTCATGATTTAATATCTCTCCTTTCCAAGTATCGATGACATATCTCTAACCTGTTCCTGATAACAAATCCTTATCATGTTAAAAAATACTTCAGTTAATGAATAAACTAATTTCAACATTTTAATATCCTGTATTCTGATTAATTTTGTATAATTATTGTAATGTGAATCCCATATTTGGTGCAACTTTGAATATCCAATAATAATTCTGAGTCATCTTTATTAAAATATGTTGAGAAAACATTTCAAATATTTTGTCTGACTCTTGAGATGCAAACTTCAATGATATTCTTTTCACACTCCTTTTTTTTCAGTAAATCTACATAATCTGAATATGTGATTAAGAATTGTAAATTACTGTGGTTTGAAAAAATTTTGATATATTGTAAAAATATTTACTTAATATTTTTGATTTAATATTCATTACTTGGCCTATATAGGTTGTTTGTAAAAATTTATTATTTAATAAGTTATAATAATTTTATTATTTTCAAGTTACAAAGATCTGTTAGAGATTGAAAATTTAAAGCCTTGAAACAAATAACGATAAGAAATCTAATGTTAATTATCTGGGCCATACTCTAACTAGACTTCGGACTTCAATTCAAGGTGAATGTGTAATTTGAAAAGTAACACAAACAAAAAAACTTGTCAACCGTATCAGAATTAATGGATTTGGAGATTTGTTCAAGATATTAGTGGCAGCTCCCTTTTAATAATAAGAATTATATATATATAGCAAGCATTAAACTTTTAGAAAAATATACTTACTGAACTATTGTCACTAATACCAACTTGCTCAGGAGTATTGGTAATCTCTGGAGTATTATCATTCTTTATCAAAAAAATATAATAAAAAAATATATGCATAAGAAAAATATAATAAAGATGCATTAAAAAAAATAGATATGTATATATATTAAACAATACACATATATTTAAATTAGTTAATACCAAGAGAATATTATCAAGACAAGGAAGGGGAACACTATTTGTTTCATTGTTAGTTGATTGTAGAGATAAAATATCAATCTCTGAATCAGAATTTTCCGATTCTTCAGATTTCTTTGAATTTAAAAATGAAGTAAAGAAGACTATCATTATAAGTCAAAATTCAATTAAGATAATACTAAATTGTTAGATAATTCTGAATCATCTGATTGGTATGGTTTTAATTTTTTTCCTTCACTATTAACTGTTATAAATCGATATAATTAGAGAACACCAATATGAATAAAATTTTAATAAAACTTACTTATTTGTTTTACTTTTTGTTTCTCTTTATTAACAAATAATTCCTAATAAATACTATTATATTTCTATTTCGGTTATATGAATTAAGTTAAGCAAAATTAATTAAAAATTCTTACCGTTGGATCATTAATAACAATGATTGGTTATACAAATTCTAGATCAAATTTTATCAATAACAATTCATCGATATTTTTATTAAAAATAATTTATTTTTAATCTGCACAATAGGTGTTATTTCATCTTTCGAAATTAGAAATTAATTGATAATAATATTAGAAAACTTAATATTAAATAACAATATATATCGTTAAAGTTTTATTTACTAGAACATCGATTTCCATTGAGTTCTCAAATTGCTAAAGCATTGAACATGCATTAATATATAGAATAAACTCAAACTTTCCAAACTATTAGCATCTTCACTATCCAGGATTACCTAAGTTTTCATTTTATAAGTAGCTAAAAATTTATAACAAAAACATTTTAAAATTACCTTTTCTATTAATTTTCACCTTTTATAATCACCGAATCTGTTTTATCCAAATCTACAACAATTGAACGAGAACGAGCTTGATTTAAAATAGTCGCAGTTTCTTTATTAAATATTATAGAAGAAGCACTTTTTCTGTGGCATTCCAGAGCAATTTAA